GGCACTGGAGGAATCAGAGACAGCACTTGGTCAAGGCTGACATATATTGCAAGTTTGGGCCTCTTAGAAGAAAAACTGAACATCTCCCCAGTGTCTCCATATCCTTAGCTCTCCCTTAACTGCCAGGGGAATTGTCGTGGGGAAGCCAGGTGGCAGTGAAGGAGCATACTCCAGACGTCAATAAACTCCCCCTCTTCCACACAAAGGAGCACTTGCAGCCACCAAAGATAATAAGTATAAGGTGGTGGAGAAATCTGCCTATGACCACTCTATTGTTGAGTCTGAAAAGCAAGTTGGATGAGGGGCGTCTGGGTGGCTCAGTCGGTTAAGCGTCCGACTTCAGCTCAGGTCATGATCTCGCAGTTTGTGACTTCGAGCCCTGCGTGGGACTCTGTGCCGATAGCTCAGAGCCTGGAGCCTGCTTCAGACTCTGTGTTTCCCTCTCTCTCTAGCCCCTCCCCTGCTTGCACTTTCTCTCTCAAAAATAAATAATTTTTATTAAAAAAGCAAGTTGGATGAAATAGCACGATCTTATTTTTAAAATTAGCATCCACTCACACAGCTATGAGCCCATCTGTATGGTTGTATACAATTGTTAACAGTGGTGATTCACAGAGGTTTAGAAGAGACAGTGGCTTCTCTGTTGCACTCTTGCGTATCATTTGTTTATATAACAAATGTGCATTACTTGCATAATTTTTAAGAAAGATTTTACATTAAGTTCCTCTTTCAGCTTCTCTGAAAACATTCATGGATCGCATGCAATAAGAGGCTTGGAATAACTCACCTTCAGCTCAAACTCCGGAGCCCAGACAGAGGAGCTGACAGACACCCATGCCAGAGGAAAGGGCCAGGCTTGATGCCACGATGCTCGGTGCTGTCGTGGTGGAGCTCCCTTTTCTCATTCGGTCCTTAGGGTTGACTCATTCAGTCAGCAAATCCTCGAGCCAGAGCACCCATTCTGTGTTGGGACATGCGCTAGGTCCCTGATTCCCACTAGTGAAGAAAAAGACACGGTACCTGCTCCAACTCATCTTACAAATGAGAAATTTCGAGAACGTAAGCATCTGTGTTAAGATGACTCAGCTCAGAATGGAAGAGGGACAATTATTTTTGACCCTGGTGACCCGGAACACCTCCCTGAGGGAACACAGCATTTGAGCCCCACCTGAAAGCATGAATAAAACTTGGACAGACAAGAAGGCACTCCAAGCCAAAGGACCTTGTGGGCAGGGGCCAAAACAGAAATGCAGAGAGCAGATGTGGGCCACGGTGGTGATTCCAGAGTGACCCGAGGGCCGGGTGGAAGGGGAAGTGGAGACATACTAGCTCGGCGAACGGGCCAAGGTCATTGTGTAGAGCATGGATGCCTTACGAGCAGTTTCAGCTCTATCCTGAAGGCCACGGGGAGCTCAGAATTTTGTTGTTGTTTCCCCCAAGGGGTGATGTGATCAGACAAGCTTTAGAAAGCTTGAAGGAAACAGTGCAGCCCGGAGTCTCTGGAGCCAGTCTGCCTGGGTTTGGATCCCAGCACAGCTGCACAGACTCTACAATTTTGGGCATGAGACTGAACTTTCCTGTCTCTTGGGTTCTCCCACAGTAACATGGGGATGGACTAATAGTGCCAGCGTCAGTGATTGTACGAATCCAATGTCTCCAGTATAGGCAAGGTTGACAATGAGTGTTGGATGCATGATGACGATAAGTCAATGTTGGTCATTACTCTCATTTCTGTGTCCATGTCAAGGATGGAGTGGGGGAGATGGGAGGCAGGAGGTGGCTGCAACTGTCTGAGTGAGAGATGAGGTCTTTTTTTTAATGCTTATTTATTTTGAGAGAGCGGGGGATGGGCAGAGGGAGAGGGGGAGAGAGTATCCCAAGCAGCACACTGTCAGCAAAGAGCCTGATGCGGGGCTCAAAGTCATGAACCATGTGATCATGACCTGGGCCGAAATCAAGAGTTGGATGCTCAGACCTAGCCACCCAGGCGACCTGGAGAGATGAGGTCTTGAACTGTGAGGAAACAAGATAGGAAGCCAAGTGGGCAGGACACGTGAGTGATTGGACGGCCAAGATAGAGGGTTGGGGAGGAGCCCACCCTTGTGGGGCCACAAGCAGGGTGGTGAATGTGGCAGGGAAGGCTCCAGGTTTGGGCTGTGGCCATGTTTCAGGCGACTGGGAAACCCATACATCACACAGAAGTCATTCAGTACAATTAAGGATTTCATTTGACCAAAAAACAAAGGCTCAGCGTCTCTGGACCATGAATTCTGAGCTCTGGGGATGTGGCGGAGGAAAGACAAGAATGGGAGCCCAGCCAAGAGCAGGCCCTGTGACGGCATCTGCTACAGGGTCCCTTCTCTCCCGAAGTGCCCACCAGCTGCACCCTGTGCTAAAAGAGTCCGTCAAGTCACTCCGATTTAGTTCTGTCTCTTACAAATAGACCAGAGGATTTGATCCAGCCTCTCTGTCCAGTTCAGGCCTTCTTTCTTTTTTGAGAGAGTCTCAAAAATGTTTTTTTTCCCTTTTATTTAATGTTTATTTTGAGAGAAAGAGAGAGAGAGAGAGAGAGAGAGAAAGAATTCCAAGCAGGCTCTGCACCATCAGTACAGAGCCCAACGTGGGTCTTGATCCCATGACTCTGGGATCATGACCTGAGCCAAAATCCAGAGTAGGATACTTAACCAGCTGAGCCACCCAGATACCCCCAAAACATTTTTTTTTTTTTTACTTAGCCATATGCCTACCAATTCCCTTCATAGCTATTAAAAACAAAAATAAGCAAACAAACGTTAAAAATCAAAAGCCATGAAAGTCCAATGCCACGGTACAGTACATAAAGAATGGAGGTGCAGAGGGGGCCTGGGCTGGATGCTAGGGAACAAGCATGCACTGCGCTCCTCATCAGCCTGTGTCGTCTGAAACTCCAGACACGAAGTATGGGAGTACCTCCTTTGGGAGTTGTTAAGGCCAAGTGATATCAAAAGCCAACTCAATAAACGTGAGGTCATCTCTCCCTCACACGGAGGGGTGAAGCCAATCAGGATGTAAAGTCATGTATTCTTATTTTCCAACATTAGGACTAGGATGCACATTATTTTACTCCAAATTCTCCAAATTAGCTGACAACGTCATCTGTGAGAGTTGTACTCTCTGTACATCCATCAGGGCCTTGGGAAGAGTCACCCTCTGACGGAATCCACACCAGGCAGGAAGGGCCGCTACTGGGCAGAGAAGGGAAGAGTTTGGAGGGTGACGGGCTGGTCCAGAGAGCTCAGCCTCACCTGGGACGGTATCGGACTGTCTGCCTGGCGGGAGCACACGGTTATGCTTGATAAAATGGTGACAGAAACAAGAAAAGCACAGCACTGTTTAATGATAGAAATCTCCTTTAATTTCATCATTACAGACTTCTTTTTAAGAAAGGAATTTCGGGGTTCCTGGTTCACTTCTCATTTGGACCTAAATCCTGATTGTGATGAGCCTGGGCGATCTAAAAGGCACGGTTACCCCTGCTGTGTGTGGAGGCCCCAGCCCAGGATCTCGGGACAGGGGCGACCTTCCTTCAGGTTCAACAGTGCGTGGGGCAGCCACACGGATCAGGTGGGTGGAGGGTGCTCTCCTGCCGGGTCTAAGAGGCCAAGAAAGGCCAGAGCTCCAGGCGCCCCACACAAGCTGCCGGCACTTGGCCAGGGCGGGGAGTTGGCAGAGGTGAATGCCGGCTTTGAAGGGTCCTCATCTGAGCCCCAGTCAGATGGGGTCCTCAGGCTGTCTTCCCAGGGTATCCTGATGCACGGAGGCTACGGAGCAGTGAAGTTGTGTCCTGTATCCTATGTGATTTATATCGTCACGTGCGCAGAGATCTGGGGTCCTGCAGGGAACCCCTCTGAGTGGAAGGCAGGGCAGGGAAGACCCCCAAGCCGGTGGTGGGTGCGTGAGCCCTCCTGCCTCCCATCACCTACCCCTTTTACTACAAGTGCACAGGCTCTGTGGCAGGTGGACCTGGGTTCAAATCCCACTCTGCCATCCTCTGCACATTACTTGTTCAAGACTCAGTCTATTTCCTTGTCTTTAAAGTGGGGATGGGGGCACCTGGGTGGCTCAGTCGGTTAAGTGTCTGACTTTGGCTTAGATCATGATCTCGCAGTTCATGTCTCCCTCTCTCTCTGCCCCTCCCCTGCGTGCTGTCTCAAAAATAAATAAACATTAAAAAAAAAACATGGGGACGATTAGGCTGTTGTGAAGACTGGGGGGTGACGCATGTTAAATCACACCAGCCATCACTGGGGAACTCGGGGTGCGTCCCTTGCCCTCCCTGAGCTCACTTCCAGGAAGCCCCTTCCAGGCTAGGGCCGTGGCTGCCTGAGGAGACAGGCTCCCCGGCAGAGGCATGACAGAGGACAAGCAGAGGAGATGTCCTCCGCAACAGTGTCCCCAGGGTCACGCTCTCCTTGGGAGGGGGCTTCCTGTGGGGACGCTCACGGCATTTATTCTGTTCTCCTGCTTTGGCCGCCCCGGCTCTGGACAGCACCGATTGGCCGTGTGACCCCTTGCGTTTCCTGTGACCTCAAGACCCAAACAAGGCAGGTCTGTCATGAGGTGCAGAGACACATCCAACTCTAGCCCAGACTTAGCTGTTTGGGTTAATTCCCCGAGTGGCCTGGTCGCTGACAGACCGTGAACCCAGGAACCCAGGAGAGGACACTCAGATGTGCTCCAAGCCGCAGTGCCTCCCCGGGCCCAGCCTCCCTGTGTCTCCCCTGCGCAGGTTTGTCTGGAGGAGCAGGGAGCGGGCGGGCGGCGAGCTCCAGGGGTCTGGATGACTCATTTCCTTCTCAGCATCGGGAGCGGGTGTCTGTGGAAGCATGGGGTCCCCCAGGGGTTAGCCAGATGCTTCTGAAGCAAAACAGCAAGTGACACTGCCTCCAAGCAGAGAAATGACCTTAAACTCAACAAGTACATAAGTCTTTTGGGAAAGAAAAGAGCAAGCATGAGGGAAAGAAGAGCCATTTTATCCCTTTATTATATACAATATTAAGGCACAAGTTTAAGCAGCAAAGAAGAGGAAATCTTTGGCTGACCAACAGTATCAACATTGGCTGTGGGGGACACACTGCGTTCTGACACCGCCCCCCCAGCCCCGTACACAGAGCCCCCGCCCCCAGCTGGGCAGCTCTGCATACCACCCCCTCTTCAATATAGACCAGTGAGACAAAGATGTCAAGATGTCACACCAGAGTCGGCTGGAGGGAACGCAGCACGCTGCCACCAAGCACTGCAATGACATATATGGTGGGTGGAGAGGGTGGTGGCCCTAGGGCCATCCAAGTGCATGCGCCTGCCCTCATTTCACAGAATTTCACACAGATTCTGCCAGTGCCCCGTTGAGGAGGGGGCTCCACTGTCCGTCCACAAAAGGGGAAAACACCTTAATTGAAAGAAAACCACTGTGGATAAATGTGCTTACGTTCTTTCTGGTTAGTAATAAATACTGGCAGGTGTCTAAATGCAAACAGAATCTGAGGCAAAAATCACATGTACACACACCACTGGGCATCAACAGTTTGGGAGCTGCTACAAGAAAATGCTGTGTATGTACTTCCTTATATTGAGAGGGTTTTAATCCCGTGAAGAAGCAAAGTTTTATGACAAAGCAACACCCCAGTCATTGCTTAACACGACAAAAACATGCACTTAAGTATAACAGGGCTTTACAGGGCACCTCCTGGTCGTCTATACGAATGAATATGCACTTCTGTCTGTGTGTATGCAGAGATGTGAACACATACAAGGCATGGCAAGAGAAAAGATATTTAAAAGTGAACCCACCCGAAATGACATGTACTGATGACACCATCCTCCCTGGAAGGGGCCACTTGGAGAGGCACTAGGAGTCCAAAGACTCATTCCAAGGAGCATTCTGGGGGATTTTCTTTCTTAAATGGTGTGACCTTAATCACCCATCTTTATTTATTCAGCTGGAATTATTTCCACACTTAAATCCATCCTCAAAGGATGACAATTTCTCCTCTGTAGGGATAACTAAAGAACAGTGGCAGGCCCCAAAGGCCTTTCTAACAGACGTGTTCGCTGTTTCCACTTGAGCAATGGGGCAGCGATCAGTACAGTCCCCCAAAGGGTCACCGTTTGAGGAAGGGGTGAGATGAAACACTTGGATCTTCCAGATATTAAGAAAGGAAACCCAACACACAACCTTGTAGTCATACCTTATATGTATGTACTGACATATACACGGGTCTTCATATATCATTAAATTACTAAACAAGAAAAGGATATACTACTTAAAAGGAAGAGGGAAAACTGCTCACTAGTTCCAGAAGAAATCCATTTACTGAAATGCTGACCTTTATATGCTCCCAGTTGGTCAGCTTCTGGAAGCTTCTTAATGACTCCACCCATCTCCTACGGAGCCAAGCAGCAGAGGCAAGCTGATTAAACAAACCTCACATCGAATAAAGACATTTTAAGCACATCAATTAATTAGTGAGAAAGAAGAAAAGAAAAGCAATATTTGTAAAGCATCTATCATGGTTGCCTCCAGCTTGGGGATGCTGAAGAAGCCAACGATGGGTTGGACGCTCTCCGGCTGTGCGATGGCTTTCCCATTTAAGAATATCTGCAGGTTCCCACTTACCACGGCCATGGAACTCCTTTGCTCAGGAGTGCAAATTCATTTGCAGCAGCCCACAGAAGCATGCTCCCCCGACTCCAAGTGCAGACTGGAGCAAGACTTTGGTTTTGGAAAGCAGCCTTTTTAGGCTCAGCGGAGCTCCGTGCAGTCACGCATGAGCTCCCTGCCTCGAAACCTTTTAAAAGCCTGATCTATTCTTCACTGCCTCCTGAGAACTCAACCTCACGTGACATCTGTGCTCACAGCAGTCTCTGACTCGGAAGGTGGCAAGGGTGGGGGTCTGGCTTCCCATTAGCACTCAGCATTGGGAGGACACAGGTGGCTGAGGGCAATCCCAGGGGGGAACAGGAGTGATGGTCAGCTTCTCTGCAGCAGCCATCCCTGAAAAGACCACCGAAGTCTCTGCTTCAAGATCAGAATTCATAAGGAGCAACTATCTCGATATCCGACCTGAGCCCTGTGCAGTCAAGTGCACGATGCGTTCCCAAGATGCAGGACTGAAGAGAGAACAGCCCCACTGCTTTCTGCCCTCCAACCAAAGCCCTGAGAGGGACGCGGCGTCTTGTCCTGCACGTCTGCCTGGAATGGGCCAAACTCAACAGTCAGTGCTAACCAGCCTCTGGGAGGCAGAAGAAAAACCGCGAGAAGAACAAGCTAATGCACTTGTTCTGAAATTAGTTGCTGGAATCCAACAACATCTATTCCCTATGGTACCCTGGTCAGCACGCAGAAATTGCTAGACAACTCATTCCGGGAGGAAGCAGAATTACTCTGGGATGTCTTCACACAAAGCCAAAGCCTTTACCCTTCCCCCGCCCCTCATGAGTGCCATAATCAGACACTACTGGGAAGTCCAGGCCTCTGGACAGCATGCAAGTGTTTTTAGATGGATTTTGTCACCTTGCACAGGATAGAACATGAAGACTTTCATCTGTACCTCGTGTTTAGGGGCAATTCTAGGAGTTCTGGGCTTGTAGTCCTATTTCTTAGCTCCCAAGGGGTGTGGCAGCTGTGTGTGTCTGTGTGTGTGTGTGTGTGTGCACGCGCGCACACACGCGTACGTGTCTGTGTGCGCACAAGAGAGCACATCATAGACAGGAGGAGAGTGGGCCAAGACGCGGCATGAGAGATAGCCACCACCCAGTCCAGCCTGTACTGGCAGCACAGCTCCTCTCTCAGACCCTTGGTTCAGATGCCACTGCTCTGAGGCTTTGGGGAGGGACTGAACCTCCCTGAGCCCCAGTTTCCTCCTCTGTGAAATAAGAACAAACTAGCCTTGGCTCTCTGGGTGGCTCAGGTACTCGTTAAAAGGTACTTACCACCCTGCCTGCATATACTCAGCACTAAAAACCAGAACTGGCATTATTTCTCTGAAAATCAAAAGAGATAAAGGATTGGAAACCGCCCAGAATGCAGAACAGGGGCTCGGTATTTGCAATCCCTTTCTCTTATGTGCAAGCAAGCCTTTGAGAAAGCTGCACACATGTCAAGCCAGCGTCAGGGGGTCCCTGTGGGGCAGGAAATGTCCCAGAAAAGAAAAAAAAAAAAAGCACATCTGAAAGCTAGAGACCCTTTTCTTATGGAAGAGTCTTAGTGAACTGGAAGAGGTAAGACTGATAGAGACCACAGCATACCCAACAGAATCGGGGATGTTTTTTTGGTTTGCATTACGACAACTACCACACTGGATCTGGACAGGAGAGCCTGGTGCCTGCAGATGCTGATGAGGCTTGGGGGAAATAGCGCCGTGGCTCTCGCTTTTACCCATGTCCAGGGGAGATAACCCGGCTTGGGGGTGGCCCGGTGGAGGCTGGCAGAGAAGACTTTCCCTCCTATCTCTAGACTCTCTCATGCCTGGTCCATTCCCAACATTCATCAGGGCTCGAAATATCCTTAAGAGAAACACCTGCCATTACGGCAGCCTCACCACCTGTAAAAAGTGATGGGAGCAGAAACTGGGACAACCCCTCCTGTGCCCCACCCCTGCCCGCATCCACACTCGCACAAGCCCAGGGCACTAGGCAGGCTGCACGGTCCCCAGAATGGCTCTGGCTTCCCGGGGCGGATGAGACTCGAGGAGGCAAGCAGCATGAAGCACAAAGCCCGGCGCCCAGCACAGAGCAGAGCCCTGGGAAGAATCAGGTCCTGCAATGTCACACTAACTATGCTCCATCGGGCCAAGGCCACAGATTTCCTTCCTCCCTTTCTCCAGTCCACACCCGGATCCTCCTTCCTCCGCTTCAATCTGGGGAGGCTACAGCACCACCCACCTTGCACTTGAAAGACCAACTCTAAAATAACCCACCCAAGCAAAATTCCCTGTGGACTGTGGTCTTCAGGGCTCCATTCAGGTGGGACTTGAGAAGGTCTCGGATCCATGCTCTTTTTCTTCCTTCCCTCAAGTAAGCACGAGGGGAAGGAAGTCGGGTAACAAGGATCCAGCTGGCCTGGAGGCAGAAAAGTCTCAGGGCCCCGCAGGAGCATCAGACAGCCTGATCAGTTTCTCCTCTTTCCTGGGCAGCACCGCTTAGATGTGTCAGACATGCCACCATACACAGGGGACGGCGCGCTACCTCACCCGCTCCCGGCTCTTCAACATGGTGCTTCTGTCTTACTTTGCTCAACTTGCCCCAGATGGAAACCTCGAAAAACGTGATCGCACTGTGTATATACTGGCCTGTTTGGTTACAAAGCAAGTTCATGACAGAGAAAAACTGATGTGTTAACACGGCAATCTACGCGCTCGTCAACAGTGACCAGAAGAGTGAGAGACGGTGGGGACAGTGGGGAGTATGTTCATGAGCCACAAATTCTAGAAAGTGGTACAAGCTGCCTGTTGAGACTGTGGATGCCACCACGTCAAGAGTCCTGCTTTTCTGGAGGGCAGTCCTGAGTCTTGAAAAGTCTCAGCCCAACAAGGCAATAGGGTGCAAACAGCAAGCTCTATGCAAGGCAGCTGATGTGAGAGCGAAAAGCCAGGGCCTAGCGCTGAACGCACGATGTCACAGGGACCATGGAAATGTCCGCCTCATCAAAACTTACCTAGTTCACGGTCACAATGAGTAACAGCTGCAGCCCAAAGACTGCACGGTGGAGGAAGGAGCCAGAATATGGCCTTGTCCCACTGGTCACTATTAACCAGAGATCAGACTCTGCTCTAATAAATCCCAGGCCTAAGGAATTCTGCCATGTCTTATCAACAAGGGGGAGAAAAGTGAAGGAAAAGAAGAGTATAATGAAAGAGAATGAAGCAGAGGAAGAGGAACTCAGCACGGTTAGGGAGTTTGAGCACCAAAATCATAATACTCCCATCCTATTTTGTATTTTTTCTGCAGAATCCAGAAAAGCTGAGAAGCCGCACAGTCTCCTGAAAACCCAACCCAAGCAGAGAGTTAGGAGAGAACCGCCTTCTAAGCTCCCATCACCCCAGGACACATCTTCTCACTGCCACACCCACAGACATTCATAGGACACCCCGAATGGCACAGGTGACATTACATTATGCCGAGATGGGCTCTCTGAGACTTCTAAGAGGTTCTTCTTTAAAAAAAAAAAAAAAACATGCTAAGAGGCAAGGAGAATGGGGCTATTTCAAGGAAGATCCACGTTCAGGTTTATATGTTTATAACCAAAGAGCAGGTATACACAGACCCTCCCCCAGAGATACATTTTCTATACAATGAAAATCCCACTTCCTGTGACTTCCTTGTTTCCAGACCTACATGCGTCTTCTCTCTTCCACCATATGCAATACAAATCCATAGACTTTCCACCATATGCAATACAAATCCATAGCACTGTCTTCATGTAGGTCTTCTGAATATTTTTTTAATATTTATAAAAAGTGTTCTTACTAAATTTAAAAATCTTTATCAGTTCAAATCATTCCTGATTTCCCATCCACAGCTTTCTCGCTCTCCTCCTTTTCAGCCACGTTCTTCATCTGTCAAGGTCCCACTACAGAATTCAGCAGAGATGCCTGGTGTTAAATGAGAACTTCCATCATCTCTCCGTCAGGGAACTCAGGCTTGTGGAGCAGGCTGCTGACGCGGCCTTTGTGGTCAGGGGATTTCCCGTGGCCAGGAAGGGTCTCTGCCAAACAGAAGGGGACATCAGCAGCCTGCCCTGCAGAGGGGCCAGGCCTTACCAGCTCTTTCTAAAATGGAACCATTATCAATCCTGGCACTCAGCACCAGCGTACGCAGGTGAGGCCGCAGAACCTGGCCCCCAGTGGGGAAAAGCGGAATGACGGGCCCCGGGAATCAGGCCCAAGTAACAGAGCCAGGGTGCTGATGGGAAGGGGTAAGTGGGTGAAGCGGTCAAGGGGCTGTGTGCCTGGAGCCCCTCACAGCTGCTCTCCCTCCACTCTATGCACAACCACCAAGTGCTGAGCCAACAAGCCAGGTCCTTTCACATGCTCCCTGCCTTCCTTGGAAAAGTACACCTCGAGAACTGAATGTCTGAAAAATAGCAATGCTGTGTTTACTTGTCTATTTTGCAGGATGGAAAGAAAGCAGCCCCACGGAGGAAATGGTTAGTTTACGCCCCTGAGAACCCCACGCTCTCAGAAGAACTCAAGAGAACTATCCCCATGACTGAGATTGGTCCAAAGGCACGTCTGGTCTTTCCCTGGACGCCTCTGCATCCATGGAAAGACCACCCCACACAGGCTGTCTTCTCCTAAAGATTCTAAAGCACCTCGTTAGTGCTGCCGTGAGTGACGTGTCAGGAGTCTAACGGCTCTGCAGTGAAATCTGCCTCCTCCTTGAGTCAGGAGGGTACCCCCGACCTTGAATCCCTGATAAGTCACCCCCTCGAAGGCAACATCTACGTACCGGGTGCCTCTGACATGCACGGTGCCTGGCACTAGCTCCCCGACGGGCTGCTGGGTACTAATTCCCTCCCACCCCACAGTAGGTCCCTTTTTTCACCTCTCTGGGAAAGGGCCGATCACAAAGCATGCATTAAAAGGGTACATTCAAGTTGTGTACTCATTTAAATGGTAAAAAATTAGAAGCGTCTACACACATTTCATTCCCATAAGAACAAAGTGCAGGAGAGTAAGCATGACGGTTCAAAAACCCCAGAGAGTGAGAGCGGCTGAGCGCCCCTGCTCCCTCCCCGGCCCCCAACCAAGGGCTCCCTCTCGGGCCAGAGTTGCAGGGCTTGTCAAGGATAAGGGGTGCTGAGGGCCTCATACCCGGTTTCTCTGCAGGTCCTTTGGCCACCGGGTGCTTCAGGACCGGGCTGTTGGAAGGGGTGGCGCTCAGCCTGCCGCGGTTGGGCAGGGAGGCCATGCTGGGCCAGAGGAGCTCGGTGCTCTTGTCCGTCTGGGTGCTGCTGTCCTTGCTGCCTGTCTTCGCGTGGGCACTGCTGGCCGAGGCAGCAGAGGCAGCGGGGGACAGCGCCGCAGCGGGGGCCGTGGAGGCGTGCTCGGGGTGCTCCTTCCCCAGCAGCAACCCTAAGGGCACAAACACAGCTTTTTCAACACCATTCTTTTTTTTTTTTTTTTCATTTTTTAATGTTTATTTTTGAGCGAGAGAGAGAGAGAGAGAGAGAGAGAGAGAGCACAAGCAGGGGAGGGGCAGAGAGAGGGAGACACAGAATCCGAAGCAGGCTCCAGGCTCTGAGCTGTCAGCACAGGGCCCCACACAGGGCTCGAACCCACCCAAGAGCTGTGAGATCAGGACCTGAGCCAAAGCCGGCCGCTTAATGGACTGAACCACCCGAGCACCCCTCAATCGCATTCTTGAAACAAGAACAAACAAACAAAAAAACCCCGAGTCTTGGACACCATTTCTTTCTTGACTGAGGGCTGCTTCCTTCATTCACTGATTCATTTACCAAATGCATTTATAAGCACTTATTATACCTGATAAAATTACAAGTGCTGAAGGAATTAAAAAAATAAAAAGATTAAAAAACTTAGTCCCCTCTCTAAAACTCTATAGGTTTTTAGGGAGGAGAGAAGCTGTTAAGCAGACCGACTATGATGTAATATGATGAACAGTAAGATAAAATTATGCCCAACATAATTTTAAAATAAAAAAATAAATAAAATTTAAAATTTTTTAAATAAAAAAAAGAGTTGCCTAGCAGCCAGTGCAGAGGGGCAGAGGCGTTCCTGAAAGGCTTTCTAGAGCGAAGCTGTAATAGACCCAGGAGGGCTAGCCTCGAGCAGCAGGGGTGTGCTGAGGAAGCACCAAAGGCTCCCTTGATCTGGCACACGATCCTGGTGGCCTGCTCTCTGCTGAGCGGCTCAAAACCCTGCCCCACTCTTGGTGACAGACAGCCTCCGGCAGGCCCAGGTTCAAAACAAACATGCTTCCCAGTCAGGGCAACCTTGAGTTGTGCACCGTTCCCCAGAGTAGCTCCCCTGCAGTGACGGGGCAACCACGGGCCACACAAAGCAGGAAGCCAGCTGGGCTTCTGGACAGAGCCATTAAAAATTTTTTTTTAATGTTTATTTATTTTTGAGAGAGAGAAAGACAGAATGCAAGCAGGGGAGAGGCAGAAAGAGAGGAAGACACAGAATCCGAAACAGGCTCCAGGCTCTGAGCTGTCAGCACAGAGCCCAACGTGGGGCTCAAACCCACAAACCGTGAGATCATGACCTGAGCTGAAGTCGGCAACTTAACTGACTGAGCCCCCAGGTGCCCCTGGCCAGGACCATTTAGCCCGCCCCCTCTTCTCTGTCCCAGCAGCAGGCTGGGGTGCAAAGAGGACGTGCCGGCCAGGAGAAAACCTTCGTGTTTCTCAACAGTGGGATACGGCACATGTTCAGGAACGTGCCGGCACTCTACAACACTAGCCTATAGGAAAGGTGGTGAGCACACTCAAGGATCTGTTTGCTTAACGAGCCAGAAATTCACAAAGCAACCTGGCCAGGGCCATTTCAAGGTGCCCATTCATAACACAAAGCAGAGCAATTCCTCAGTGGGCGGGGCCTGGGATTCTGCTTCCCTAAGGAGCCCCTCAGAGACCAGACCAGGGGCTGCTGCTGGTCCACGAACTGCATTCTGAGGAACAAGGGCCTTCGGCTAGGTGTCTCACGCCCATCAGCTCGCTCTTTATTTTAGAGCGCTCCTATGACACAGGTCCTGCGCTTTCTTCTGTTTTACAGAAAAGTAAGTGGGGGCTCAGAGAAATTAACACCTCACGGCTAAGATGTAGCAGAAATGAGAGTCAAGTGCAGCTGTACCCGACTTCAAGTCCAGCCTGCGTTCCTCCCACCTCGTCACCCTGCCTGTCGAACCTCCACAGTCTGACGGGGGATGTTCTGGTGGGACCGAGTCACTAGCCAGTCACTAGTCAGCCCTGAGCCTGCAGGAAGGTAGACGCTGTCACCTCTACTGCTTTCCAGAGCCCACGAGGCAAGAGATGGTGGAAACATTCCGGGAATTGCGAAGGAACGCGTGCCACTGCCCCTTCTGTTTTTCTGTGACGTGTGGACACCGATCACGATAATGAGGATTACTCGTGCGGAGAACACAGCAACTGGTCCTGCGGGCCGGGCCCTCAGGCTCCCAGGCCTGGTTTAGACTTGCCGAATGCCGGCAGACACCAGCACAGACCCGAGGGAGATGCCTGCCTGGCTGGATATCACCAAATGCCCATGCCAGGGAGGCCTCCATCACGGCTGAGCCCGCCTCAGACTCCTTCGCCAGAGCCGGCCGAGCACTGCCCCCAGGCTCTGTGACTGGGATAGGGAGTTGCGTGTCCTCGGGAGGGTCTTCGGTGATCTTAGCTGCTGTCCACACACGTCCTCTCTGAAGAACATTTTCTTGGAGGGCAGGGGCCGCTGAACTGACAGGTGAAAGGACTTCAAACAGAGACTCTACCTGGGAGCCTTGATCCCCCACTGTCAGGCCCACTCTGGAAGCTCTCGCCTTTGGCACAAGGCAGTCGGGCTCCTCTGGGGCTCCACGCTGGGGGAAACTGGCTCTCGGCTCCACAGATAACCAAAACTCACTGGCGCCCGGGGAGAGGCATCAAAGAAGGGCCAGACCCTGTTTGCTGCCGGAGTGCAGTGGAGGGGCAGGGAGGACAGGGCTCTGGGGGGTGCCGCCGCCTCTCCAGCCTCAGCTAGCTCAGTCAGCGGCCCGCCCTCACCCTAGGACACCGGCTGCGCCTAAGACCACATCTGGAGAATTCGCCTCAAAATTCTGCCCGTGCACAACCACAGCACAACGAAAACCACCACCACCTACCTTTACGCTCGAGCGCATTCTTCCTCAGCACCGTCTCCCCGTTCTCCCATTTTGCCCTTCCCCTGAGCAGCATGGTATACAGCAGGCCCGAAGTGGCCTGGCTTTCCCAGATGCAGGAGCAGACGTGGAGCCAAGTCCAGAGGCCCGACAGCCCTGGGCTTTCCCCACTGGAACGTGTTGCGTTGCAAGGGTCACTTCAACTTTCAGCAGTAATGATGATAATTACGGCATGAATCAAACCACGGCTAAATGCTAAATACCCCTGCAGGACAGCTTTGTTTCCACACAGCTCATTTAATTTCTACAACCAAAGGATGAGTGGTTATCTTCCCCATGTCACAGATGAATAAACAGACCTGGAGATACTCGCTGACATTGTGCAACCCCTGGGGGGCAGCGGCAGTGAGCCACAAAAGGGTCAGGGCCCTTTCCACCAGATGGAAAAGGCACCGTCCCCACGTTTGTGTAGCTCCTGCTTTTCCGATCCTGGCCCGACGGAGGCGCGGGGCTCACCTATGCTCCCCTTCCAGGTCTTCTCCTCCTTCTTCTCCTCAGCTAACTGGCCGCTGGTGAGGGAGGTCTGGCGGGAGTGGGTCCCGGTGGCCGCAGCAATGGATGGGACGGAGCGGGCAGGACGCAGGCTCGAGGAGTCTGTCTTCCCGGCATCCTTTCTGGATCGCTGCTGAAGGACCTTAATCATGGCATCCTTCTCTATGATTTTGGCATGGAGATTTTTAATACTGTATAACAAAACAAAACAAAACCAAAGAGTCATGATCGAAAGCTATTTGGCTGGAAAAACTTGAAACATTTCTCTCAGGCTCCCCCAGGGACTTGAATTGTAATTCAGGAACGAAGGGCTAAGTGCACGGCGAGCCTTAGCATTTACAATCTGCAAACTGTAGAAGATGGACCTTTTGTGGTAGATCGGAGGGTGCAGCTTCTCTGGCCTCTCAGGGGACTCTGAGACCTCTTGGGACCCCAAGGACATAGGGGCAGAATGACTGTGGCCTCCCAGCAGGGACCCCCAGGGCCAAGGTGTGCTCAGCGACCAAGTCTCGGTCCTGGTGGTCTCGGGTCCTGGTGGGAGGGGCAGCAGGGAAACTCGAAAACCCTGAAGCCTTACCCAGGGCAGGTGTCCCACTAACGTCAACTTCCCCATTTTCTGAGGAAAGAAAAGAAGAGATGGACAAGTTTTCTGGGAAAAGACGATTTTCTCCCCCTCATGGCCAAAGATGAGAATCGGAAAGAGCTTGGTGTCTCTTCATGACTCAGGCAGTAACTGGCTGAGCCTATCAGCTGTTCAGAACGGGGGTCGGGGGGTGGGGCGACCGGCCCCGTGGGGACCTCAAGAGTGGTCACTGTGGAGCCCGGTGGCGCAGCCACGCACACGGCTGTCCCTTACGTGTACTCCATGTCCTGACACCTCCTGGTGGCCTGCGCCACCTCCTCCTCCTCTTGCCAAATGTGCGCTTCTAGTGAGCTCTCGCCGTAGCTGCCGTTCCTCGAGTGGTTGATGATCGTGGTGTCCCTGGGGACACAGGACACACACAGAGAATGATGGACGTGTTCCTGGGGAGGCATCCCAGGGCACCACACAGAGGTCTCTCTCCACAAACTCCTTCACCTAAACCCTCTCCTGAACCCTGGCCAACTCTCCCCCTAAACCCGACAGAATGAAGACAGTGTCCAGGGGAAACAAAATAAAGTCCACAAATCAAAACTCCCTGGCCCTTCCAGTAACGGCATTGTGTATTAAGCTATGTGGCACGCTGCGCACCCTGCGCCCCTACTGATTATCAGGCTGTTGTTGTTACTGGACTGGTGTTTCTCTGCTTATTCTCTTCCCTACTCATTCGTTCTCAATCACAGTCAAAGTTTTATTTCCATTTCTCCCTCACCCAGCAGTGACTTCTGTATTTTACAGTAAGAGGGAGACTCAGCAATGACTTGAACAGACACTGGTCCTTCCGGATGGTGAGGCTCAGCTAGAATCTTCCTTTACACCTGTAGGCTAGCTCATTTCTAGTTTTCTGAGCCCCTGCCTAGGGATGCAGGTCCTCTCAGTGTGACAGCCATGCTGGGTAACAGGGCAGAAAGATGAAGAAGCCACACACCTGTCCTTGGGAAGTCCAGTCAAAAAGTTGAAGCGAGGGGAGGGACACACAAGGTGGATGAAAATACTCGAAGCAGGTGTCTGACTGAAAACAACTGGTCAAAGATCATTATCCCTGTCACTGGTTTTGTTCATTTAATTACTCCTAATTAACCATGACTGGTAAAAACAAGATATCTGTCGGGGCACCTGGGTGGCTCAGTGAGTTGAGCGAACAACTTCAGCTCAGGTCACGATCTGACGGTTTTTGAGTTTGAGCCCCACATCAGGCTCACTGCTGTCAGCACAGAGCCTACTTCAGATCCTCTATCTCTGTCTCTCTCTGCCCCTCCCCCACTTGTGTTCTTTCTCAAAAATAAATAAACATTAAAAAAAAGATAACTGGGCCACCTAAGTCTTCTAAGTATATCTCAGACTGAAAGGTGTAGTAATGTCTCTATCAGTGAATGTTAAATTGGTAAGAAATAATGTTGCCAAAGATTTCACATCTCTTTAACTTCCTATTCCAATGCTGCAGTCATATTTAAAATCTTAATAGCTCTTTGCTAGAACACTCAAAAACAGCCACGAGTACGTCTTCTTTCAGCTCTTTAAGGACACCTATCAATGCATGAGCATTTCTCTTCTTCCAGGGATGGGGTAAGGCTCGTTGCACGCGGCCCTTCACAGAGTCCTCATAGCAACCTGGACAGCTGGAAGGAGTATGTCCATTTTACAGATGAACAAAGAGGTTAGGTGACTTTGTGAGAACACTCAGTGAAGGTGGAGCCGGATTCAAATCCCAAGAGTTCCCTCCAGGCCCTTAGCTACCTCTCTACACGCCCTCCCCCCACAAGCTTCTGTGTCTTTATGAAGAAGGCCTCAGCAAAAAAGCACAAAGATAAAATAGCCAACAAAGTGGGTGCACATGAGAATGTGGCATTTGTGCGAAATGTGGCTGAAAATAAATCACAAGGCCAACTAACACAGAAAACAAGCAACAGCTTTAAACAAACTGACAGGCAAAAGTGCACTCGAGAAGAAGGGCTCTGGAGCACCAAGGGTTGGTGGGAGGTGGGGGGGGGGGTTTCTGCTGTGTTGTCACATGGGCAGAATTTTGAGGCAAGTTCTGCAGGTTATGAATTCACCCTGGAGTGCTCAAAAATCATCAACATGGAAATCAGTGGCTGGAGGAAACATTTCCAACCAAGCTACTTTTGGCAAATTTATACAGAGCCAGAGACAAATTAAAAAATTCGTGTTTATACTGTCAAGTAAGGACAGCAGGAACAATTAGATCAAAACATCTTAGAAGGTGTAAATGCACACAAGGCTCTCAAAACAATATTACGTTGCATCAAAACCTGTAAGAAGCTTCAAAACCACAAAAGGCCAAACCTCTCAAAATTCTCACTGATGGTGCCAAAACGCACCAAAATGGCAAAATCAATTGGTATACAAAAATCGTTTAAAAAAATTCACTGCTTATAAATGTGGAGTATGCTTCAGCGACTTGGCAAGTTACAAGACCAGCGGCTGGTCATTTTTACGAGTTCATATGCAGCCATTTAGCATCCAGATGAGAGCTCAGAATTTTGGCCTTTTTCAAATATTCATTTTCCTTTTCTCCCTTTCTATTAAGAGGAAAGCAGTGCAAAATTACAGAGGTTTTCCTTGAAAAGAACATCAAGACTGGAGTTAATACCTGACCCTCCTCTGAACTGACTTTCCCCAAGACCATGGGGAAAGGAGTCGTCGGGAAGGGGAAGGTAGTTTCCCACGGAATTATTAGATGCTCAATAAATACCTGTGGAAGCAGAGAAGTGGGGAAGGGAGGGGTGGTGGAAGGAGCCTGGATTCACTTGCCCACCTGAGACTCCAAACAGGGCAGACGACAGCGGTGGGGCTGGTAAATTGCACCGGATTCCCATGTTTTGACAGCAACAGACCAATTTCTCTTGCCTGGAGGATGACTATCAAGGCAGAGCCTAGCACAGGTGAGGGGCTGAAGGTGGGCTCTCGTTCGACACCCCTCCACAACGGCCCCCCTCTGGTCCCACCACAAGAGACTTCTGATTTGACATGCTGGTCACAGTTGTCCTCTCAGGGCCAGGATCCCACACACGCAAAGCAACAGGAGCGGAAACAACACGGACACACAGGTAGCACGTGCACCCTGCTCCTGGGGCTCTGGTGTCCTCGGCCAGTGGAATATGGTGTGGTTCTCTGCTCATAACCAGCCAAGAATTGTAATTTCCTTTTCAGGGATCAGGTGATTTTTGAATGAAGTAAGCGACTCTCAGAAAGGCCTATGCAGAGTCACACACCTATGGACAGCAGTCAAGGAAGAGGTCTTGAATGTGGTGTCCTGCCTGTGTGGCATGCTCTCCATCAAAACAATATGGTGTGGGGATGCCTGGGTGGCTCAGTAGGTTAAGTGTCTGACTTCGGCTCAGGTCATGATCTCACAATTTGTGAGTTCGAGCTCCGTGTCGGGCTCTATGCTGATAGCTCAGAGCCTGGAGGCCACTTCGGATTCTGTGTCTCCTCTCTGTGCCCCTCCCCCACTTGTGCTCTGTCTCTCTCTGTCTCTCAAAAACAAATAAATGCAAAAATAAAATTAAGAAAAAAAGCCCCAACATGGTGTGAACGACTCCCAGGGCAATCGCTGACAGCGGTGCATTAGCCCAAATCTGGCAAAGAAGGACAAATCCCTCCTTAGCTTTGCGACAGTCTGTGTTCTTCCTCAGAATACTGAGGTGACTTAGTATTGCCTCAGAGAACAGAAAACTGAACACAAAAACCTCTCAACTATATAAAAATCAAGGCTTGGCGGTTCCCACCCATCGGCACGAGGACTGAACTGGAGGCTGCAAATCCCTCCAGGTCTTGAGCCACGACTCTGGGGCTCCGCCACACGACGTGCCTCTCTCTGGTCTATTTCTGCTCCCAAGTCTCAGGCAGAGGGGCTACGGTGGGTTGTCTTCCCTCAGGGCCTAGACACAGGTAGGGAACGCGTGAGCTCTAGGAAATGATCCCCAGTGGCCATTTCCCACACGGGTCTGCAGGTCTCTCCAGGTGCAAGTGTGCAGCACCCAGTGAAGGCACCTGTGTCCTCATGGGTGGCACTGCTCTCCCCAAGTCCCTGGAGGTACCATCTGGGGGTGCTGGGGGGTCTTCTCCACACGAGTTACTAACGTGAAGACCTTACAGAGCACGCCATGCCCCCCGCCCCAACAGGCCTTCTCTTCCTCTTTAAAGAAACGACACATCCCCCTAGACGTGGGACTGACCAGATGATCAGGTTGCATCCACAGTCTCTACTCCTCACCTGGTTCAGGTTCCTCCCAGACGGTAAAAAAACAGCCCGTATCAAGGTCAGTTTTATGGGTGCTCCTTTGAGATTTGAGGATCTCTTCCACATACATTGACGCTAAACGTTGGTAAGTTCCAAACGACTCTGAATTAAATACCCACAACACCTATGGGCCCACAGCGAACTGGAGGGGGAGGGGTGGGGAGGCAGCGGGCGCCCTGACTGATGGGACGCACAGCCACTCAGGTCAGGGTGACAGTGCACACAGGTGAGCCCCTGCTCATACAGACAAGCTGACGGTTTAACAGAAATCCTTCGTGAATTATACAGCATCCTGAGCTAATTTTTTTTAATGGTTGTTTATTTTGAGAAAGAGAGTATGAACAGGAGAGAGGCAGAAAGAATGGGAGAGAGAGGATCCCAAGCAGGCTCCATGCTGTCAGCACAGGGCCCAGTGGGGGGGCTCGAACTCACAAACCCCGAGATCATGACCTGAGCCAAAACCAAGAATCAGACGCTTAACCTACTGAGTGCCCCAGGTGCCCCAGAGCATTCTGAGCTAATTTGTAAAGGAAGAATGAGGCTGTGTGGCCACAGAAAGGAAATAAAGCAACAGAAATAATAAGTGGCAGCAGAAACAAACAATTTCAAACCAAATGAAACCAGGCTCCCAGTCACACCAAGCTCAATGGAACATGGGGCCCTAGAGCTCTGCACCTCTCCGAGCCTCATTTCTTCACCTGCAAAACGAGGCCACTAACCATTCCTCTGTTTTTTAACCTTTTTTTGTCTTTATTTACTTTTTTTTGAGAGACAGAGTGTGCACCGGGGGAGGGGCAGAGAGAGGGGGAGACACGGTATCCGAAGCAGGCTCCAGGCTCCTGGCTGTCAGCACAGAGCCCGATGTGGGGCTTGAACATACAGATTGTGAGATCATCACCTGAGCTGAGGTCAGACGCTTCATCAACTGAGCCACCAGGCGCCCCTACGCATTCGTCTTGTTCCCTCCGAACCAGGTGAGGAGTAACGCTACTCACCCAGTGAGTCCCACATGTAATGAGGATTAAAGCCCTTTGTCCGGCCCACGAAACATGCGCACTGTTAAAAGACGGCATAAAGCCCCCTTTGGCAACAGCCTGCTGGAGAAGCACAGAGTACTCCGCTGTGGGATGCACTTGCAGAGCCTCAAGAAACCCCCGGCCGCAGCGCAGGCTGGCCTCACCTCTCGGCTGCCGCAGTGGCTGCGGCATTCATGGCGAAGTGGCGGATGGTGCTCTCCTCCAGGTACTTCTGCTCCCACTTGGTCATGTCGGCCTCGAGGGCCAGGATCCGCTCCTCCTTCTCCCTCACAAGTTCCAAGAGGGCTGGGGCGTTATACTCCGGCACACTGGCTGGCTGCCCGTTTCCATGTTTCTGCAGAAGCGGAAGAAAGAACACCTCGATCCAGAAAAGGGCCAGAGCGTGTACACCGTGCACAGCACGCGTGCTTCATGCGTGCTCCCTCTCCAGTGAGGAGAAGACAGACTCTGCAGCTCTCACCGCCAGGCTACCTCACCTCCCAAAGTCCTCCATCTCATGTCCTCCTCACGGAAGCATCTGAGGCAACATCATCCCAGTGTTAGAGATGAGAAAAGGAAGCCTCTGAGAGGCTAACGGAGCTATTCCATACCTCTCAGCTACTCAGGAGGAGGCTCACACCGGGGTCTGTCCGGCCACACAGCTCCGCACGACAAGCAGCTTGTCTCATGTCCTGTCATTCATTTATACCAAAAACGAAAACGGGAACTAGGGCTTGGCCTGCTGGTCTAGGGCATTTTCCCTGGAGGTCAAGGAAGTGACTCCCACTGTCTGTTGCCCCCTGAGGCTGGGAGATAAAATGTAAAGGCAAAGGAAGGGGGAGTCAGATGCCCTGATGTTCATGTCCGCCCCCCTCCCCCACACTCATCTGGGACACAGAGGAATGAGTGCCTGCTTAGAATCAAATAAGATAATTCATATGAAAACACTTATGAATTTGAAAGGGCTAACCAAAGTAAAGCGCTACCAGAAACCTCGAATGCAAGTCGAGCTTGTTTTTCAGCCCTTTCTTTTCATCTGTGTCTGGAAGCTAGGAAATAAATCGGTGGTGTTCTCTGGACACCAGTATAAGCAGAGGATGCTGACACATCAGATTTCCCCCCTTTTGACTCAGGGATACTATTTCCTCTGAACAGCATGGCTTCCAGGATGGCAGGCTTCTGAGGAAGTTCTACGTTCAGGAGAGAAGTTCACCCCAGTTATTCTATGTCCTGGCACTCACACTGCCCTCGTGTTTTCCAGTGGTCACAAACTTGCAGGGCTGGCTGCAAGGTGAAGGGTACCTGAACACTGCACCCCGAAGTACATCACGGAGCAACAGCTCACACACAACCTGCAGTCACAGAGTCCGATCCTACCACAGACACGACAGCAGATGGCCAGGGGCTTTCTAGAACCCATATGTTTCTACTCAATTTTTTAAAGCTATAATTACAAATATTCTAGAATCTGGTGGTTGGTTGCCAGTAACCAACAGCTAAGCAGGAATGGAGCAGAAAGCACTAACCGTCATCAACCTGTCCAGGAAGGCGCTGAACCCCCCTCCGGCCAGACACTGGCCGCAAGCAGGGGGGAGTCCACCGAGAGCCAGTCCATCGAGATGTGAAGCTCCACTGTTAGAAACTCTCTAAGAACAATATCCCACAGCCTGGCTAAGCTGCGATCCCTGCTTGTCATTTTCTAAATCCCTCGTGATGCCATCACAGCTGGCTTATTTCTGCAACATCCTCCTGACCTCTCATGAGATCACGGCACCTCTTCCCAGGGCCCTTCATTCAGGTCATTAAGAGTTATTTAAATAAATGCATGAATTTCAACGTTCAAGAACACAGAGACAGCACGGTCTAATGGGTACATATCCTGGCCAGAAAAACGGGTTGAGGGTCAGGCGGGCCAGCTTCTGCTGCCCACTCAGTTGGTCCGCAAATATTTACGGAACATGTACCCTGTGCTGGGGATACCACAGTGAACAACACACATATAATCTTTGTCCTTCATGTTTTCACCTGGGAGGAATGTCCTAATTAGCTAATGACCTTGGGCTGGCCTCTTAACTGCCCTGGGCCTAATTTTTGTCTTAAAGAACATTCCCCACTTCTCTCTTCTACCTCATAGGACTGTTGGGGTAGCAAGATGTGAAAATTATTTTGAGCTCTTTGCAAGAAAGATAAAATTGTGAATTCTTAAAAATGCTCATTTCCCTTCCTCTTACCTTCATTTCTCCTTTTCCTCCTCTCAGCCTCAAATGATGCTAAGTACTATTTTACCTCCCAAGGTGGAGAGAGATTACTGATAATAACAAGGATAATGGAGTTGAGTCTGGTTTCATAGCACTCAAAATAGAAGATCCAAGGATAAGTAATCTAACTGCAGGGTGTGGGTGGCACATTAACTGAAAAAGAACATTCTTTTTTGCTTTGAGTATTGAGACATGCCCCTTTTGTCAGCCAAAGACTCATAAGTACCCACTGGGTGCCAGCACAGTACCAGGCACCAGAGAAGCCGGCCCTCAATTTGGGGAGGTTAAGATCTCAGTGACTGAGAAGAACTGAAGGGTGGGCCTTAAGTACCAGCGAATATGGCACAGGTTAGATGGATCTGAAGTCCAGAGACAGACTCACCCTTCCTATGAGCTATCAACTAAGCCAATATGGCGGGAGGCTGGGTGGGTTCCTTAATTTTCTGGACAATCTCACTAACGCTCCCTTCCCTAGCCAAGTACACATACCCCGAGGGAAATGTGTGTGCCTGCCATGAGAAAGAGCTGAGCTGGCCTGAACAGATGCTTTCAAGTGTTTTCAAGTATTGCAACCACAACCACTATGCTCTATCCAGTAGATAATTCCATGGAGTCCTGTTTTGTGTTTCCCTGGTTCCTAACATAGAACACACCCTTCACCAGCTGCAAAGAGGGTCAGCCCACCACACTGGCTGAGGACACACAAGCCCAGGCTCTCTCTGGAGCCAGGAACCAGTGCATAATGGAGCCTGGCCCAGCTGCAGAACTTCCCTGCATGACTTTTCCCCTTGCCGAGGCACATATGGGCCCTAGGCTGGGTCGTTGTGCTCGAAGCCTATTAACAGCTAAGTCATGTGGACAGCTGTTATTGGCAGAAAGAAGGAAAGACAGAAGGACTAGGAGCTTATGGCCAGTATTATATTCTAGTGATAGTCCTGAATCCTTCCTCTCCTTTATTTCTGAACACTCACTGATGATCATGTCCTACTAATTTTGCCATCTTACTGGCTCCTTCATGGAATCCCACTTGAGGACATCACAGCCTGAATGTTGGCTCCTCTCACTTCAACATTCACCCCTCCAGACCCTCCAGACACTACCAGAGGGCTCTTTCTCTGGTCCTTTGTACCATTTTCCTCTCTGCCTTAACCCCCCCCCCGCCCCCCCCGGTCACTGGCTCTCTGCTGACTACAGGAGAAAGTCCAATCTCTCAACCTGACTGAATGCCTCCTCACAAGCCACCTCACTGCTTTCTCCCAGTAGCTAGTTGCACCCAGCCATCCAGAACTCGCCATACTGTCTCATACCTCTCTCCTCCATGCAAAATCCTCCTCCTGTCTCTGATGTTCTTCCCCCAGAATGCCCAACAAACTCATCTTTCAAAGTCCAACTCAAGTGTCCTCCTCTGTGAAGCTGTCTCCAGCCACACTGTGCTGTGCCCTGCCCCTGGTGGCCACCACTTTCCCTCTTTTGTCACTGCAATGAGCAGATTGCCTGGTTCCTGCACTGGCCACTATGCTAGTTCACTGGGGACGGAGTTCTCATTCACCAATGCACAGTGCACAGCCTGAACCACAGCATGTGCTGTGCTGCAGAACAGGTGCTGGATGGATGTGTGGCCCCAGCCTCACCTGCCGGGTCCTCAGCCTCACCTGCTGGGTCCTCAGCGCATCGAGCTCTCTCTCCAGCCAGGTCCGCAGTCTCCGCTCCATCTGTTCTCGCTTCTCACACGCAGACTGCAGCTGGCTCAGGGCCTGCTGGAGCTTCTCAACCTTCTCCACATAGGCTTGCTTCTCACGTAGCTGAGCAGAGGACAGTGAACAGCGGCAGAGAACTCAGAGAGGCAGCACTCAAAGCTGAGGTGGAGGTGGGGGGTCAGGGTACCTGGGATCCTATCTGAACTGCAAGTGTTTGTGCCTTCCCTACCGCCACCCCCCTGGTGTGCTGGGACAGAGAGGATTTAGACAAAGGCCGCCAGGAATTAAAGGCCCTACCAGGGCACTTGCTCTCAGTAGCGTGCGCTGCTCTGAGCTCCATCCTTGGTTACTGCTTAATGATTACAGCATTTGCAGACACTGACAAAGAAACTAGCAAAGAGCTTTCAATGCCACAAGGCAAGGCTTATTCTATAGTGTTAACTAAAAAACCCAGAATCAAAAACTAAACACATACACGTTGCCTGCCCGTATATCTATCTATTATGTACATGTAAAAAGAGACTGGAAGGGGCACCTGGGTGGCTTAGTCAGTTAAGCATCCCACTCTTGATTTTGGCTCTGGTCATGATCCCATGGCCGTTCATGGGATGGAGCCCTGTATTGGGCTCTGTGCTGACAGCATGGAGCCTGCTTGGGATTCTCTCTCTCTCCCTCTCTCTCTGCCCCTCCCCCACGCACATTTGCCCTCTCTCTCAAAATAAATAAATAAACATTAAAAAAAAAAGACCGGAAATACTTAAAAAGCATCACCATGTTTATGTGTATGGCACAACAGTAATTTCCCATTTTCCTTATTATCTTCTGTAGTTTTCAAATCTTCTATATAACTATAGGTGTATGTATACATGCATGTGTACCCATTTGTGTGTGGATAAATACATAATTTCCTATCTGGATATCTGTGGAGTAACTTTCTCCTAAAGACTTCAGAGCCCTTTACAGAGGGGTAGTTAACAGCCCTGAAGAGACAGGAAGGGCACAGTGAACACTCAAACGTCACCATAACTGAGGAAACAGAAATTAAGGTGGAAAGGATTTATGTAAATGTCCCATCAGGCACAGATTTAGAATCATGAAAACTTTGTTTTCTTCCAATGAGGAGTCTGGCCCATGTTCACAAATCCTAGGTGCATTTCTAACTTTCTGGGAATTGGCTCATGCCAAAAACCAGGCTGAGGCGCTGACTTGATCTGGTCGTGGGTGAAAAGACACCAGATGGTATTTGCCGTCTGCACCTGGGCGTGCTGATGCCTCACAGGTGATTCAGATCCTGAGTTCAGCCTATGACTGCACTGGCAAGCCGGAACAGGCTAGCGATTGAAGAGCCTGCTGCAAAAGGTGGTTTCTCACTTAGCAGACAGCACCGTACTGAGCTATGCCTGTATCCCGGCCAAAGCCACAGAAATAAAATGGAAGTGCTTCCGATGTTTTGGCACAGGGGGCAGCAACCTTACAGCCTTCTCTAAACCTGCTCTTGGCATCAGTTTCCATCAGGCACTTTTTTTTTTTTAATGTTTTCTTTATTTCTGAGAAAGAGAGAGAGACAGCGTGAGCAGGGGAGAGTGAGAGAGAGAGGGAGATACAGAATCTGAAACAGGCTCCAGGCTCTGAGCTAGCTGTCAGCACAGAGCCCGATATTGGGCTCGAACCCAAGAACCGTGAAATCATGACCTCAGCTGCAGTTGTTTAGCGACTGAGACACCCAGGCGCCCCTCCATCAGGCCCTTTTATTCACCATGCTTTTGATCATTTGATTCAACTGAATAGACACTTAAGGACCTACTAACTGCAGGTTCCTGTGTCCGAAGCTGATTGGCCTGATGAAAAATTTTGTGAATACCATTCATACACTACTTACAGCACATCCTATGTGTATACAGTTTTCTGCATGTGCAGCCCTAAGAACAGATGGGCCATGAGATCTGTTCATCATGGTGCCTTCTGGGCAGAGTACACTGTATGTCCCTAATGCGCGCAACAGTACTCGACACCCAGCAAAATACTCAACAAATGTCTGCTAAACAGAGAACTGTTATTCCTAATCAATAGCAAGATCCTTGAAGGCCTAGATCTGCCTCATTTACCTCTGTATCAGCGTTAAATCTAGCAAAGAGTATATTAGGATGAGGACAATTAAGAATAACAGTTAAGAGGCACCTGGGTGGCTCAGTCGGTTAAGCGACCGACTCTCGATTTTGGGTTAGGTCGTGATCTCATGGTTCATGAGTTCAAACCCCTCACTGGGCTCTGCTCTGACAGTGTGAAGCCTGCTTGGGATTCTCTCTCTCCCTCTTTCTCTGCCCCAGTGCTCTCCCTCTGCCTCAAAATAAATAAATAACATTAAAAAAGAAGAATAACAGTTAAAAATATCAGCCAACATTTTTGGAGCTCCTCCAGGCCAAGCATTGTGCTTTATATGCAATTATCTCATTTAATCTTCCTGATGACAGTCAGAACACAACTGCTCTGTTATCTCCATTTAAGAGAGGGAAGACTGAGACTTGAAGAGGTTACAGGACTTGCTCAAGGTCACACACTGACAGATCCCAGGGTCAGGATTCTAATTCACCGTAGTCCTGGCTCTGGAGTCGCTGCCCTTAGCCATCATGGGAAGTCAGGATAAGCACTCAGTATGAGCTACCTGAACTCAATAAAGACCCTTCAAAAGAACAGGGAGTCGTGCTGGAAGGGAGACAAAAAAGAGATTTTGGGATGCAATCAAAGACTTGTTTCTGTAACAAGAAAAGATCCATATTAGTGATTATAAAAAATTGGTCTTTAAGGAACTCACAATTAGCTTATATTTTATTAGAAGTATTAAAATGAAAAGATTTAAAAAAATTTAATTCTCTTTGGCTCCACACACGGAGATGGAGCCTGAATAAGAAATTTCAGTTATAACCATAATGAGGAGTCCTGGGCCTCCTTTCTCAAAACAGACCCTGTGTCCTTCAGGGATTAAGGTTGCTTTCTGCGGCAAACGTACTTCCTATTTAATGAGTGGCAACAGAGAATCCTCCGGGACTGCGGCTTGGGGTCCTCACACTAGTCTTAAAATTGCGGTTTCTGCAGAGGCACCTGGAAGGCTGAGTCAGGTAAGCGTCGAGCTCTTGATTTCAGCTCAGACCAGGATCTCATGGTTCATGAGACTGAGCCTCGAGTCGGGCTCTATGGGCGGCATAGAACCTGCTTGGAATTCTCTCTCTCCCTCTCTCTTTGCTTCCCCCCCCCCAACTCTTTCATGTACACACTTGCTCTCTCTCTCCCTCTCTCAAAAATAAACATTTTTTAATTGCAGTTTCTACATAGGACTTGTGGCTTTAAAAGGCTTCTAATAGGCAAGACCTTTGTTAATTTAACCATCTCCCCCTTCAGCTGCTCGAACCTTGAAGCCGAAGGTGCTGGGACGCCCCTGTTACCCGGCGTCAGGAGGTGTCTTCCGAAGGAGCAGCTTTTCATCTTCAGCAACAGTTGGATTAACAAGAGCACTGTTTTCTGCATGCCAAGCACCAAGGTCAGTACTCTGTGGAATATGAGCTTCTATTTCCGACGTGGCTCTGGGCAGGGCAGCGCCCTAACAGGGGGGCCTTGCCACCTCAGGGGGCTAACGGGGGCGGCGCAGCAGGCTACCTGCCTGGGCCTCTCCTTTTCTGCCACCGTGTCGACAGCCTGACCCTCAGAACCTCAGCAATGGTCGTTCTTCCACAGCAGGCTTAGAGGCAAAGTCTCCCTCGCAAAACTTAATCTAAAGGGCTGATTTAATCAGAAACCACTAAATCCATAATTCTTGAGAGGGATCAAACTTTCCTGCACTAGCGGGGTGACTGCCCAGCTGAGCCAACTTCTGGGAACTGAAGACGGGTTTGCTGCATGCCACACCCACTCCTCCCAATCAGAGCCTTCTGCCTTTTTTTTTCTTAATGCAATCAAAAGCCCAAAGACAGAGCAGATAAACTATTTTTTAAAAGAAAAACTGTTAGTCTCTTCTCTCCACAGGCACCAGTGGTTTTCAGTCCTTCCATTTATTTCCAGCCCTGGACACTTGCCCACCAGTGGGCTGCAGGCTGGATTTCAGGCGGGAAGTGAGCTCTCTCACGGCTGTCTTTCTATTCTGCCTCGTTCTGGGCTGGATAAACTGTGTCTGTATGAACTTTTATTTGGGAGGCCTCCTACATCCCTCCCCCTGACTCAATGCGATGGAGTTGGCTCCAGGCAGGGGTGCTGATTAGGAAAAGGAAGTGGAGGCCCTCAGGGCACTGCCCGCACCCCATCTCACCTCCTCCTCCAGCTTGATGACCCTGGCCTGGGCGTTGCTCAGAGCCTGGTCCAGGATCTCGATGTGTCTCCGGTGGTCTTCGCTGGCGGTTCGCACTGCTGCTAACTCCATTTCCAACTTCTCCTTCTCCTTCAAGAATTCTTTGTCTAAAAGGGAGACAGAACAAAACCACCTCTATCAGAGAGCACTCACCCTCTGGGCTCGTGGCCAGTCTACATCTGGCAAGGATTAGGAATAAAAAAGCATACAGAGAGTAGAGGGTTGAATTACTGCTTTTGCTCCCTCTTAATAGTGGTGATGTGTGCGGTAAGGGTTTGCTCAAAAACCGCTGTTAACTCTCGATCCATTCCAGGTCACAGTTGCAGAGATGAACAGTACACAAAGAACCAGTGACCCCACGTTCTCTATAACTCATTTCTGTGCAACATTTACTTTCATGCTTCAAATTAACCTTGTACCTACGATTTCGCTTTATGCTCACACCTCCCCTACCTCCATCTTCCAAACCGGTGATGAAAGGGCAGGCAGGCCTAACAATAATACTAATATTCTCATCCAGAGAAAAATAAACCAAGGTCCAGAAGGTTCAGCTCTTTGGCTGACACCGGAGAACAGAGGGGAGCTCTGGCCCAGGCCTCCAATCTTGAGCTGGACCCTCTTCCCATATAACCTGGACCCCCACATTTTCTCCTAGTTCTGTTCAAGAGGGGAAAGGGAAATTGCTCTGGATTTAGGAAAATGTCTTCTCATTCACTGTCTCTTTGCACAAGGAAAGCAAGGGCCGCTGCATTCAGTAGCTTCCACACCACCTTCCGGTAGACTGACTATCATGTTAGTTTAAGCAGAGACGGCCAATGGTATCACGGGATCAGTATTATTTATCGAAGACATTCTTCCTGGCAACAAAAGCAATACACTTTATTTTGAAAATAAATCCGAATGTTTCATCACGTTGTATGTAATATGGAAAAGCTTGAATGAATTCACTGTGCAAGATTAAAGGATTGGTTAAACAAACTACTTTAAGCCCTACAATAGCCTAGGTTGCAGCCATTAAACATTAAATAAGATATTATCAGTGACACGGAAAAACACTTCATTATTGAAAAGAAGTGGCTACATAAACCCTACTCATGCTATTCCACTGTTGTGAAAAATAAGGCATATGCAACAGCTGCAGCAAGTTAGAAACTGATTTCTTCGGGCCCACGCCACTCGAATGCTTCAGACAGTTATCGGGATCCTTTGGCAACCCGCACCGAAACACAGAGAACCAAAGTGCAGAAGCTACACCAGCGTGTGCCCATGGTTTCACTCATTCGCATATCCTCACAGAGTCATCCATTAATTCAACAAAGAGTTATCAAACAGTAAGAATCAGCCCTGTGGGCACGGAAGCAATGGAGAAAGAATGCTGTGCTTAAGAAGCAGGAAACATGCTTTTGAATACAGGGCATGAGACTAAAAAAAGACACTTTAAGCCTACAAATAAGCATTTAACAAACTCCTAATTTTAGAGCCGGAAGGGATCATAGGAAATAACCCCCTCTAGTTCCACCGCTACTTTATGAGTGAAGAAAGGACAGCGCAAGAGCGAAGGCACCTGTCCAAGGTCCCCCTGCCAGCTGGCGTGGAGCTAGGGCCTGAACACGGGTCTCCTGATGTCCCAGTACAATGTCCTTCCCCCTTGACTGCGCTGACCCTGCACCGTGAGGTCATGTCGACAGGATCCAAGTGCAAGTGGAACAGCTTCAGCACTGGCAGCCTGGGTAGCTTTGTATAGCTAAGTGGCAGAAACAATGGCATCTGCTGGAAATAAAATGAAGCCACCAAGATCCTAACCCCGAACACAGAATTACTTGGGGGCTATTTATGTGCCTCACTGCAACAACCAACATCACTCCCCACTTCTCCCTTTCAGCGGCATCTGAAATACTCTCTCTGAAACTTCTTTCCTAATCCATGGAGAATGGCCACGCGAAAGGCCCAAACAAATGGGTCAGTAGCAGCCCACTGACTTTGCGCCCCACGCTCCACAGCCCTGAACGACCCAGAGCCTTTCACTCTTCCTGTGCAGAGTCAATGACATTTGAAGGCTAGCTGTTTGGGCAACAGCTCAACAGCCAGGGGGCCCACTGGCCTTGTCCGGGTTCTGGAGGGCACCCAGGAGTTACTCAGCATGCTTGGGAAAGAGACGCTGGATTTCAGGGCTCCTGCCTGCTTATCAGCCTAAGCGTAAAAGTTATTCTCTTTCTTGAGGACAGCGAAGGACATGTCGATTTTGACCAGAAGAAGGTAAAAGGATAGACAGAGCTCAAGACTAGAAGCCACTTAAGTTCTGCAAATTGATGATCATAATTATTTCTGCATCACAATGACAGGTATTCATATTTCTGAATTAAGAATCCCTCCCCTCCTATACACACACACACACACACACACACACACACACACACACACAGGTGGACACACTGGATTCTAGCATTTACTATTTGCTTGATATACTGTGGTTAAAGCATGGACCTCAACATCAGAAAACTAGATTCAAGTCCCAAGTTCACCACTTTCTATGCTTGAGGTCTCAAGCATGGTTAACCTGTCTCTGAGACTCAGCTCCCTCATCTAATCAAATCATCTAATGGGACTATCAGATGAGAAAGATAACATCTACAACACAGCGTCTTCAAACACGACTCTGCCGATGGAGATGAGGCCTATAAAGCAGAAGGACCTGAATATTCTAGGCATCTGTTTGGGTCATTATTGATTCCCTGAGCCTAGAAAAGTGCCTGGCTCAATGTAGTTGAATGAATGGATAAATCTCTACTATGTGCCAAGTTCGTCGCAAACCGTATAATAAGTGGTAGTTAGCTCTCGTTAGCTGCTAGCTATTTCCTGACAGCCTTTGTTCCACAGCTGTCCACTGTGCCACTGAGGCTGTGCTGACCATGGATGTCCCCGGTTCCCTTCTTTGCTGAGGCTCCCTGAACCTCACAGGCTACACCACCAGACAGAGATGGAGGTAATGAATGAAGACTCCATTAGCTCTGGACTGCTTTGCAGTCCTCTGAAATTCACAGGTCGCAACATCTCTGTTATGAGTTTGATCACCTTAAATTTCAGGCTGCAGCAATGTCACTTAGTATCACTCACACTGGCTCAGAACTCCTTGTCCACTGATAAGAAGCAGTGGTGCTCTGGATGATAAAGTTTTAAAAACAATGTTCTTGACAGCAGCAACAGTAACAAAATCTGCTCGTGTTTGTTAAATGACTACCGTGTTCCAAAAATGGTGACTTAATTCCCTTTAATTATTCCCTTTATTCTAAATTTACTGTGGAATTATTATCCCCATTATTATTTCCACATTCCAACAGGTTAAGTCACATGCCCACAGAAGTGGGACCGCTCTGTCAACGGCAGAGGCAGAAAGTGCTTTTGTGCCTAACTCAAGTTCACAAGCATAGCGCTATGTGTCTCCCCTGAGGCACAGAATATAGCGCAGAATACAGAGGCAGAAAGTACACGAGAGCTCCATGACGCTCATTATTACAAGACTTACATATGTCACAGGCTGTATCATATTTCTCCAAACAGAGCAACCCCATCCACACGTATATCCCTCTGCAAATATTAATTAAGCATCTATTACATGGAGGCATCAGAGAGTACTGTGAAAAGCTTGGTACTAGAAGTAAATTGCCTAGATTCATGTCCAGCTCTACCACTTACAGTTCTGTGACTTTGGGGACAAATGGACTAGCCTTTGAAGTGAGGATCACAACAGCACCTACTTGGAAAATGCATAAGGTATGGGGTGGGGCACATGGGTGGCTCAGTCGGTTGAGCATCAGACTTTGGCTCAGGTTGTGATCTCACGGTTGGTGAGTTCGAGACCTGTGTTGGGCTCTCTGCTGTCAGTGCAGAGCCTGGAGCCCACTTTGGATCCTCTGCCCCCCACTTCCCTTTCTGCCCCTCTACTGCTTGTGTGCTGTCTCTCAAAAATAAACATTAAAAAATGCATATGGTAAGTACTCAGTAAATGTCAACTATGATAATGCTGTGGTTATTGCTGGTGTTCTTGAAGGCGTAATAAATTCAGGGGCTGCAAGATGAGTAGGTTGTAGCGTTTTCCTCTCATTCAGGCAGGAAGTGACACAAGGACACACACAAAACAATGTGACAGGTCACACTAACATGCCTGAACAGGTGCTGTGAGAACACAGAGAGAACGTCTAATTCAGGCTAGTGTGTGAGGAGGGGGAGTGTCAAGGCAGTGAGCCTGTGTGGGGGATGCTGGCTCTGACCCTGGAAACATAGGACTGAGGGGTGTCAGGGCCATTCTAAAAGGTCCTCTCTCAGGAGATGCCAAGGGAAAGCCCCATGGGTGAGGTCACTGCATAAGACGGTCCCTTCAGCTTACTAGTAGTTAAGCCCCATGGGCTATCTCAAGAAAGACCAGCCTCACACTGAATTCTTGGTTGGGCTCCAATGTATATACTGAGAATTCCTAGAACAGGCAAGTTGACACAAGAGAACTCTTGCCCAGAATGGTCCGTTTACTCAGTGGATATGAATTACCCTGAGCTGCATGGAGCAGCGGGTTGTTTAGCACATGGCCCCAGGCCCATTTACACAGAGGATGTCTGCTCATATACTGTTTACTTTGGAAAGAACAGCGGTGGTATGGCTTTGCCCGGCCGACCTGGTTTGATTCTGGCACCTTCACACACACCAGTTCACCTTGGACATGTGAGATGTCCCGGACTCCGTCCCCTCAAATGGAATGAACAGGATCATTTGCATGACCGATGTGAGGATTAGGGTGGCTATCCGGAAAACACCTCCCATGGGGCTTGGCACATAACAGGTACTTGAAAAATAACGTGAGCTGACGTATTACTGGGGGCTTACCATGTCTGTCCTCTGCTTTATAACAGCACCTCCCTTACTCCTCCTAACAACTTGGTTAGACAACAGAGAAAACCAGAGAGAAGTGAGCTGCGACACTAGTACAGGTCAAATGGTAGTTGCTTTTCTGCCGCCACCCACAGGGTTAGGCTCTTTCCTAAGGAGCGCGCAAACGTGGATGTAAACTAGAACTGGCCCAATAATTCAAAGACGCTCCCTTTTCATCTTACCTTCT